AGGAAGAGATGATGGAGTGATTGTGGGTCTGTCTCAGTGAACAGACTGTATTATCAGTACACACTACAAGCCTCGTCAGCTTCTCAAAATCAATGACAAATGGCATTGTATATGAATAACTATCTGGCTTCCAATACAGTATTTTTGTGCTATAAAACAGCATTATTTATTGTGCTCCCCAAAAAGACATTAGGGCACTGAAAGCAGACTTAAAATGCCATTGTAATAGCTCAAATATCAAACCAAGTGGTATTTGCAAACAATTGCACTTGTTCTAATAACTAACCACTTTATAGTTATTTTTGCAATGACATTTAAGTCAAGGTGAATTTCTGTGGACATATGGAAGCCTCTTAGCTCCTCAAAAAAAAGAGAAATGAACTAAAAAAATAAATGTAAAATTAAAAATGTATTATTTACTGTAAATGTGACTATATCTAACAGTGTGATTTTGCTTCTTATTTTAAACTTGATCTCTAAGGCAGGCTTTCATATAAACCAGCGTTGTTACTGCTAACTAAATGTATACAAATATATAATATTAACTGAAATAAAGCTAAAATAAAATATAAATGTTAGATGAAAAATAAATAAAAATAGAAATACTGAAATAAGCTGAATTTGAAGTACTAAAACAAAAACTAAAAAACAAATGAAGGCTGAATCAAAATATTAAAAGAAAAACAATAACAAAAGCACAGAACAAAATTACTAAAACGTTAAAATGAAAACTGAAAATATAAAAATAAAAGCTTATTCATTAAAGATAATCTATAAATAACATATAGTATATATAAATAATACTAAATTAACACTGACATTAAGTTCCAGTTTGACAAACAGAAAGTGTCCAAAATAATTTTTTGTGAAAGTATTTGTTGTTGCAACAAACTTCTCAGTGTGAAATGTACTGATTGTCTTGTCTTTCTTTTAAATAAATGACACTCGATATAATGCATTATATAATACAATGACATTTACACATTTTCAAGTGTGGTTTATGTCCACACATGGGCCGCTGTATAGTAATTCATGTCTTCTGTAAGTGAAGTGCGTTTAACCCTTGCCAGCTTTCACTTACCCAGGTTGACAAAGCTCATAACCGTGTCGGCCTCGCTAACCACTGTGCCGAGGGGCGGCGTGTGTGTGCTTAAAGTGGGCAGCGCCGCATGACTGACCCCTTCTGGAGTGAAGCCCAAACCCAGTCCATCATCGGCCTCGTACGACACGGCATGGTAAAGGTCCAGCATGAAGAGCGGGGCAGAGGAAGGGGGCCGCAGAGGCGGGTGAGGTCTGGGCCGGCCGGGTAGACCCAAAATGGATAAAATCTCCTTCTGCATCTCCTTCTTTTCACGACCACTGAGCCTGCGGAAGCTGGAATGCACCACTCCTTCCACCTGAGCCCAAACACACAGCAGCATGCAGAGAGGGAGGAGGACAGGCAGAGCAAACAGTCGCTGGCGGCCTCGGGTTCGGCTGCCACAGCTCTCCTTCCTCCCTCTGCTGCGGTGTGAGGACACACACTCAACCACACTCTCCTGTTTGCCCATTGGTGTGGCAGAAGAGCTCTGCTCCATTGCAGCGGTCTATAAAGATCGTATTTATCCCTCCAAAACCTCTGGGTGTTTACCCGACGTTGGTCTTCTCTGGAATGGTCTGACTACTGTCTTGAAGTTCAACTCTGAATAACACTCCGACGTCTAAGCCACTCAGATTCCACAGCAGTCATCGTTATTTGAAAGAGTGCAATGTTTACTGCTACAAGCCACTCAGTTTATCGCCTTTTGACAGTCATTCCTCATGCTGTCATTTCATTTACCAAACCACAGGGCTTCTCTTCAATGTGCTTACAGAGATGGACAACAAAAAACAAATATCCTAGAAACTGGAAGAGAAAACAAACGGGTCTTCCTAGAAGCTCAAATTCCTTCAGCAGTGATCTCGGAATTGGACGGACTAAGCATAATGTGAAATTAAAGTCTTTAGGTAGAGTAAATAAAAACACAGGGCCTCGCAAACATCAGGTTTCAAAGGTTTTTTTTCTTCAAAGGTTTCTGGATGAAACACACCACCTGCTTCTGCTCCTGTTGAGAAGATGTCACAACTCCAAGCTGATGAAATCCTCTGTTTAAATGAAAAACCAAAAGTTACAAAACTCCCTTGCAGTAATCCATTAATATTGGGATTCAAATGTTTAATCCAATGGGTGGAAATATCCAAGACTCCTGAAAAATCAAAAATATATATATTTCAGGATTTTGAGTGAGAAAATGATTTGTTCACCAGACTACTGTTACCATCCCCAAATGTTTTTCTGAATTGTGAAGTTGCGAGATCCCAGTGAGCTGTGGTATTCCTAGCCTGTGTGCTGCTTGCGTTGAAGGCATAATCTGAACACGGGTGACCTCCTTCCCTCCAAGATACACACTTACGCAGAGGGAGTGTTTCCAACGACTGGATCCTCCGCCCGCTCTTCCCTAAACCCTTCTCACCTCAATCTCCATCTACTATCAAACCGTCTCATCTTCTACACATACCTCACAAATTGCTGACAATTATCATGTGGTTTGGCATAAAGATGTTCTCAGATGTGATCCAACCTTTGCACAGACTAGAAATGAGTTTTTATGGTGACGGTAACATGAAAATTGTATTTATATTCTGTGGTTTCAACAATAGCCAAAGAGTGACAGAGCAACGCTGTCTTATTGAAGATATATATATATATGGAACCTTGATTTGCAATTAATATATATTATGAATTACACAAAATATTAAATTACATAAAATAATGTGTATAAATATTTATATAGATATAAAAGTAGTATATACATTTGTTTTACCCAAAATCTTGTTGAAATTTAAAATAAAAATGAGGGCCATTGACATGCCATTATGCAAACCCCCATATAAAGTGAGTTTTTTTATTATTATAGGAAAACAGTGTGATAAAAACAACTAAAAATGCAAATAAAATGAGGGATTATGTGTATAGACCTCAGTTGATTATAAGAATGAAATAACACTGCAGGTCTGTGAGATGCCACGAGAACTCGGCTCGGTGGTGTGGATGGTGTTTGGTGGGAAAGGATGTGAGTGGGTTTAAATATTTGTATATAAACACAGACACACAGCTGCAGAATGGAGATGATGAAACCCCACCCTTCCCAAACCCCATCCGCTGCATCGGACCACCAAACATACACAGAGTCCAGTACAAACACACACTACTTAAGTGTGACCAACACACACGGCACAAACAAAGGTGCTTCTATTCACTCGTGGGCCCGTTTCTGAACTCCCGAATGACTGTAAATCTTCTATAAAAGTGCAGTGTGTTCAAATCTCTGCACACACCAAAGGCTCATCCCCTTTTGAAGATTTAATGGGGTGTGTCATTATCTCTACTGCTTGTAATTACTGTGCCATTTCCTGTTAACTGTGGCATCCCTGCACGCTCACACACACCACTCGACAACACAAAACCAGACCGTTTTACTGCAAGCATTGTTTTAATACAAAAGAGAACAAAAAGGATTTATAATCATAACTTCTTTACTTTTACACAATTGCACCCCTGTTTCTCAGTCATGTCAAAAGAGTAACACAATCAAAATGTGGATCCTTTCACAGCCCTCACCTCCCTCCCAAGGACACAATAAATAAATAAAAATCACCTTTCTTCAGGTATTCATATACTTCAGCTTGTCAAAGACAAGATTCAAAGCGCTGTTTTTAACAGGGGCAACGCGAGCCGCTCCCATCATTCATTATTTAGGGTACTTCCGTCACGAAAGAACAAGTAGGAAGCCACTTTTGACGTCATCTAAAGTTAGTCGCCGGCAAAAAGGCCACCATTGGAATCATTAAGCTTCCTGGTCAGTTATAACATCAGAAATGATCAGTCAGAGAACTTCATTACGTCAGGAGCGGACGTACAAAAACAAAACCAAGAGCGATTCCTGTTGTGTTAATACTAGTCATTCTTAAGAGTTGATAAGATACTGCAATCACAAATAAATACAGCTCTTTATTCTACAAAAGAAACAAAACGTAAGGATTATAAATTAACCATGAAACAAACATTCACAATTGTAATCATTTTTGCATCCTGTGGAAAAGCTCTGTAACATGATGTCTGTAACAAAAGGACACAACTAGACTGTGTGGACACACAGTGGAGAAGACCGTCGGTGCGAGCTCATGAAACTTGTGTGCTGTGCGCTATAGGAGTTCCTTTAAATGGATCACGTGTGACGTGAAGGATCTAATTTTCTCGTCACAAGAATCTTCACACCTTGGGAAGGCTAGAGATATGTATCCTCCACTACCTCTCTGTATTACTGCGTTAATTTACCATGACAGGAACTACCACACATTCATTCACACAAACATACAAGTGTCCAGGAGGAAAACGTCTGTTTTTAATTGATTTCCTCTAGTTTGCAGTGGCATAGACACCCAGGCGAGACTGGTCTGCATACCAGTGAAAAGGGCGAGTTTGCCCAACCAAACATCTCCAAAGTGACAACCATGCATGAGGTTTGGAGAGTGACGGGCGGTTGCATATTCATAGTGAAGAATAGTGAATAGAATAGTTCTTCCCTGGTGCAGAACTGACGTCCCTCCTGAGTGTCTGTGGAGACATGTCTGCTCACACCGGATGTTCTCCATCGCACATTCAAGAAAACGCAATGCCAGTCAAATTAAGGACATGATGTAGAACACAAATAAGGCAGCATTATGGTAGGTATTGATCTGGGTGGTGCAGCAGTGTGCGGCTGCGCTAGACGCTGGAGGTGTTAAGTCTAGTCCTGTCTCGTCTGAGCTGGCGGAACGGCACATTAGCCGTCTGAGAGAGGAAGGTGTGGTGTTCTCCTCCTGCTGGTTAAATCACAACCACCTCAGAGTCAGTCACATAGACTGATAAGGTGGCGACTTCATTTCTTGGCCGCTGGTGTTTTGGGGCTGGGGGCCTTCTTGGAGATGGTGGGGATTTTGGAGGGTTTGGCCCCAGGCCGGTGAGGGGTGTCTGAGGTGTCGGAGCAAGCCGAGCGTGTCTCCATGAGCTCAGACGTGTCTGAAGCGTCGCTGCCCCTTCGGCTGCTGGCGCGGCTTCCAGCACGACTCCCTGCTCGACTGGCTGGGCCGCTCGTCGAGGACGGAGTGCGTTTGGTGTCTGATGAAGGAAGATGATTCAAGTTTAAGGGTACAGTAATACGGCAAATCAGGATGTATTACAAATATAATGGAAAGCCAAATAGTAACAACACCCACAATCTTAAAATGTAATACTTGGAGTACATTTTTTTTTAAATAGCAACACTAATACTGTAACTAACCCATTACCTGACCAGTAATTGGCTAGTTTATCCAACATGTGGAATGTGACATTTTTTGTGCACTGTGCTTTACAGCAGAGCAAGTCACATAAACTGTAATTTATTAATTTTAGCAAACAGGCTTGTTTTGGATGGATCAATGAACTTAACACAAGGAGGTTTGTTAAAACAAACAACAACAACAACAACAAAAATATTAATTTGTTTGAGTTCCTGCGCTAAATGTTTTTTCTTTCTTTTTTGTTTTGGTACTGATATAGTGACTTAAATGCCACTGTTCATCACTGTATTTTGACTAACATAAATTTAGGTGCTTTCTAGTTTCATTCATTTAGAATTTAGTGTAAATTAATTGTTACATTGTTTTGTTATACTAGACAAAAAACAATACCAAAGTATGCTAATAGACAGTAATATATTGATAATAATGTGCTGCAGGAATGAGTCCTAAAACCAGTTCCATGGCCCCAAAGTCAATGCGTTTTCTGAATGGGCTTTTGGTTAAATAAGGTCTGTGGTTAACACAAGCTGAAGATATTTATTCTACAACATTAAATACATCAGTAAAACTCCCTTTGTGTTGTTAACAAGTGGCTAAATGGGACTACAGATGTTGTCGGGGGCATTATACATCATTACCCCCAACAGGAAAACTCATCTACTCACTGTAACTGTTAATGGTGAGGGCATTGAAGTTGTAAATGAATATAAATATCTAGGGACAATCATTGATGTAAAACTGACATGGGATGTAAATACAGCAGCGGTTCACAGAAAGGGCTGCAATGATTGTATTTCATGCGTAAGCTTCGACAGTTTGGTGTGGATACATATATGTTGGCTCTATTCTATCGTTTATTTGTGGAGAGTATCTCGACTTTAAGCTTTGTTGCCTGGTATTTCTCACTGTCTGTAGTAAATAAGAACAAACTAAATAAAATTGTTAATATGGCTAGTAAGATTGCAGGTAAACAACAGCATAGTCTGATAAAACTATGTGAATTTCGAGCTGTGAGGAAAAGCCATGCAATTTTTCTGGATGCATGGCATCCTCTTTGTGGTGAATATGAGTTATTACCATCTGGTCGAAGGTACAGGGCACCATTATTACGGACTGCCCGTGCACAAAGATCTTTTATATCATCCAGTATAGCTCTGTTAAATAAACTTTTGTGATATCACAGTTGTCATTTGACATCTATGGCAGTGATTCAGTTGTTGTGAGAGGGATGTTGTTTGATGCTGGTTGTATTTATTTGTAATGTGTTGTAACCTGTTGATGTTTGTATTGTTAATTATTGTTGTTGATCACTGAAGAGTTGCCACAGACACAAAAAGAATCTCCGAAAGGACAATAAACTAAACTAAACTAACACTAGTCCACTTTAACAGCCTCATTTTGTTTAGAGTCATTCTCTTGCAAACTATTTTTTATAACTTTTATAAGTCTTGTAAACTTTCCAACTTGTAGATCTTAAAGACTGAAAGAGTGGTGGTGATGATGAAGTGTTCAATTATAGCCTACCTTTAGCTTTTTACTTCAGCCGATTGTAGTTAGGATTCAAAATTCATAAAAGTTATTTGTGAAGATTATCTTGAACGTAAAAATCACAAACTTATTGGTTGCAGCACTAAAATATACTGCCCTCTTAAATGGTTTCAATATTCAATACTTTTTGTTATTAGCTTGTAGTGTAGCTAACTATGCTTTCCAGAAGGGTCTGTTAGTACCTTCAGTTACACCTACATTCAAGTTGATTTTTATACAGCTTTTCACAATACCGTTTCAAAGCTGCTTTACAGAAAATGCGTGTTATACTTTCAGTTCATTCACAATGTGAATTTTCAATTCACATCAGTTTAAAATGTCTGAGTGAGTGAAGCAGTTTCGTACCGGAGCGTCCAGGTTTAGTAGCGGTTGGTGTTCCACCGTTCTCACCAGTTAAGGAGCCACGGCTGGAATGGAAAGTTGGTCTTTTCAGCTTAGATGTGGAGCCTCCCTATAAAAGCAAAGAGAGAACGTTTATTACAAAAGGTCAGATTTGTCCTGTGTAGCTACGGATAATAAAACTAACAGATAAATCTGGTCAAATGTAGCTAAAAGTAACTGGAATTTGTTTTCTGGAAAAATCCAGCTACTTTTGGTTACATTCTACCAGACTCTCTACCAAGACCTGGACGATGAAAAACTATCACCACATAAGATGGTTTAACAGAATGATTTCTTGATGAACATGAAGTGAACTGAAACTGTTTCTCAAGCCAGCTACATCTGTCTGTTATCACACTGGAGACTAAGCTGCATAAGGTCACAGTTTACACTCTTTAGCAACATATAAGGGTCACAGAGTTTACGGAGCCATCTACCTCAGGTCCTTCCCAATTGTTGAGATCAGGCCGCACTTAAAGCTTTTACTGTTAGTGTGCTAGGGCACTGGGAGGGGGCAGTGTGTTACCTCGTGCCCAGGGGTCTGGCTGTGCTCTGGGCAGGACTGGCACTTGGTTGGTGTTGGAGTTTTACTGTGTGCCAGCCAGGGCTTGGCATAGCCACGAGATTGGGATTGGGAGGACTGGGAAATGCGGTAGCAAATAGGACGAGGGAGAGCCAAGTAGCAAAAAAGCAGTGGGAAGAAGCCAGGATAAATGGAAAAAGAGTAAAGTGGAGGGAGGCGATGCAGCATGGCAGAGAATAGTGTTTTTGTAGGTGGAGATGAGAACAAACAGGGAGGAAGGGTGGAGGAAGGCACATTTTCCAAGCAAGGGAGGGGAGAGGGACAAAAAGACAAAGAACAAATAAAAATCTCACAGATGACAATATGATTTTGACATGCAGAGACAGTAGTGATCATGTCCTGATCCTAAAACAATAATGTAAACAAACACCACAACCAGAGAGACAGAGAAACCATCCACCAAAAAGGAGACACCACACTGCTGATTTCAAGACATCTTAAGGATTAGTGACAGACTGATATGTCGGCCTTAAAAAATATTTTATAATAATATACATGCACACACACACACACACACACACACACACACACACACACACTACCGTTCAAAAGTTTGGGGTCTGTAAGAGTTTTTTAATGTTTTTAAAACAAGTCTCTTATGCTCACCAAGGCCACATTTATTTGATGAAATTGCAGTAAAAACAGTGATATTGTGAAATATTATTACAATTTGAAATAACTGTTTTCTATTTGAATATATATTAAAATGTAATTTAATCATGTGATGGCAACGCTGAATTTTCAGCAGCCATTCTAATATGCTGATTTGGTGCTCAAGAAAGATTTCTTATTTTGTAATATAAATTGCTGTGCTTAATATATAGAACAGCATTTACTTGAACCAGAAATCTTTTGTAACATTCTAAATGCCTTCACTGGCACTTTCAATCAATTTAATGCATCCTTGCTTAAAAAAAAATCCAAAAAGGCAGTGTTTAAACTTTAGATGACCACATAAAATACAAGCAATCAGACATATTCAAATACTCATGAAACACACAGATGTATGTAAAGACCATGAAGAACACTCAGATATGAAGTATAATGTTATGTGTTATGCGAAAAAGGACATTAATTACCAATGCTTTTGCAAGAGAACCTACAGTTGTGGTCAACTGTTAAGAGTCTGCAAGATATTTCTCATTATAATTGGATTTTGTTTCCTATTTTGTACCGCATATATATATATATATATATATATATATGCAAAGATATGCACATATCTGTTATGCGTCAGCATCTTCAGGGCAGTAGTAACTAAGATTTTATCTCTTGTTTTTGTAAAATGCTAAACATCATTACCGATTCTGCAAATTCTGTCTATACAAATGCTTGTAAACAAGCACAACTGTATATCTAGATAAACTGTGATTAAATGTTCACTACAGTTCAAATGTTTCGGGTCGGTAAGATTTTTAATGTTTCATTTTTAAAGAAGTCTCTGATGCTCACCAAGGCTGTTTATTTGACCAAAAATACACTAAAAACTTTAAAATAACTGTTTTCTGGTTGAATATAATTCAAAATATATTCTGTGATGGCAAAGCTAAATCTTTTGAAAGTACTTAATGTTATTTTTGATAAATGAAATGCATCCTTGCTGAATAAATGTATTATCGTCTTTCAATAAGAAAAATCTTACTGACCCCAAACCTTTGAACTGTAACATATGATACAACAAGTAAACTGTGTGAGACTGATTTTTAGAGATTTTTAATGAAAATTCGTGTATAAGCATGCTCCCACAACAAACAGCAAGCACGGGTTATGTCCTTATGGAGTGTAATATGGGGTCACTCACCCTTGAGGAGGCTGTGGGCGTTGCGGGTGCGGAGGGTAGAGAGGCGCAGCTGTGGGCGCTGTGCGAGGCAGATGAAGATGAACGGGTGGGCGAGGCAGTGCGTGACGAAGGTTTGGATCGCCGCCCCCGGGACCGGAAGGCCGCCAGACCCTGCGTAGCTCCCTCTGGAAGAATGAACTTTTCTCGAAGCTCCAGGTTGGTACGTCCACGTGCTGCAGAAGATGAAAGGAGGAGAAAGTAAATCAGCTGCTAGGCCGTAAGGGACGATAATTAGGCAGAGAGCAGTGTGAGTGGAGAGAGTCAGCACTTCCTCCGGCCCACTGCTTTGACTCAATGCAGACAGAGGGATCGTTTACCCACTTTAAAAGCGGTCAGTGTGCGTGGTGGACACGATGCAGGGGGTTAACAGTGAAGTGAGTCAGAGCAAGCATCTTCAAAACAAGAACTCACAAAAAAAAAATAGAAAAAAGCACAGCTTCCCTCAGCCCACCACGTAAAAGAGTGCACACGCATAAACAGCATAAACAGACAGATACCTGAGGGTCATGCCTGATAATGCTTTTAGCAAACACTGAAAACCAACGCAAGCTTCCATGGAGCATTCTCAATAACAGACACCCAACGCAGCAGCCCTTGCACAACACGCAGACCAGAGCAGCCAGCTGAGAGAGAGAGAGAGAGAGAGAGAGAGAGAGAGAGAGAGATGCGCACAATGGCAGCAGTAGCTGTGGTCAGAAGTTCCCTGTTATGCCCTCAACAAGACATCAGTGTTGGGGAGTATCTAACTAAAAGCACAGAAAATTCAGTTACATTTTTCAGTAGTTACAATAGGACATAGCATGTAGCCTTACATACGAGCAAAATGCAACAATCAAACACCACTCCCTTATACTGGGATTTTAGGTAATCGTTTAGATAATTCATTGCGCATTCATTCAGTCCCTGCATAATATTTTATGCCTACTGTTTTGTAGCAAAACATTTAATCAAATGCTGCTGTTCATCAATGTTTTCAACAAAGTAATATAAATGTAGGGTGTTCCGTTATTGTTAACTAAAAATAAAAGTAAACTATTAAATTTTTTCATTAATTGAAAAAAGCTAAATCTAAATATTAGATGAAAAACGTAATGTTGCCTTGGCTAAAATAAGCTAAAGTAAATAGAAACATAAAAAAAGCACATAACCAAATTACTAAAATGTAAAAATAAAAAGCTAATTCATGTATTAAAGCTATTAGAATATACATAAAAACTTTAATAGTGTAAAAATAATACTAAAATGACACTGGTTTCAAATTAGTTGTATTTATTAAGCCAATTTTCCTTAAGTTTAGCAGGTGTTCTAACCACAGATGTAGTTCATCACATTAATCGCCAACCTGACCCACTAATATCTGACAACTACAAAGTGTCACAATTCTTTTACTTAATCCAGAACAGTGATTCAACTGCTTTATTATCTAACAAATGTCTTTTTGTGAAATGTGTTGCTTAAAAATGACCTTATCTATCCTTCTTAAAATAAATAAAAGCCACTTGATTTGACATTGCCATAAACTATCAGTGGTCAGTCACTTACATAGTTTGTGTCCTTAGCTACTGTTTTGGTATTAGTGTGTAGTGTGGCTAATTAATTTGTCAAAAAGTGTGATTTTACTGTACTTCAACTACTTTAAATTATAAGTAGCTTTTAGCGTGGCAAGCTACAGTTTCAAAGTAGCTTCCCCAACACTGCATGACACTCACTTTTCCATCAAACCCAGTCAGAGCAGGGCAGTCGATAACTGCCGCACCATATAATTTCCTCCCCACAAACCTGGTGGGGCCTGTAATTCATTTCTCCATGAGTAATTGCTCTTCGAGAGTTGCTTCAAACAATATTAGAAACCCCAAGCCTGGCCACACCCTGGGTCCTGGATGCTTCTACACTTGCAATACTCATCCAGGACACACATGAAAGGAATCGAGTCCAGGCCTGGCCAAGCCTGGTTTGAATGGTTAGCATGATGCTAGCTGACACATAGACCTCACACACTCACACACATACACTAAAAGACACAGCAGTGATAGGATGGACCCAAAGCTGGACAAAAAGGTTTAGAGGCTCAGAATGGAATAGACAGACAGATGCCGTCAAACAGGAAAAGAGTTAAGAGGTGAGAAAGGAGAGAAGATGAGGTACCTCTGCAGCAGAAATAGCCAGGAGTGACCGTCACTGAGAGACACAAGAGACAACATGAAAACACGCATTCACACCATCCCACAGAAAGAGTCACATAAGCACACTCACATTCTGTTGAAAGGGATAGTTCACCCAAAAATGAAAATTCGGTCATCGTTTACTCACCTTCAATTCGTTCCAAATATGTATTAATGAGAAATTTAGCATATGTCAATCACCTCAAATTGATTTGTTTAACGTTACTGACGTTAAATCTAGCATTCCTCATTTACTTGCATTGTACAGAAGAGCAGCTTAAACATTCTTCAAAATATCTTCTTTTATGTTTTACAAAAGAAAAAAAGTCATACATGTTTAGAAAGATGTTTGGGTGAACTTTTCCATTAAGATAAGATATCTTGCTTGGCAACAAAAGGGAATAAACGGTCTACAAACACCATTTTTGGAATATAAATATGCATTAAGTATCTCAAATCAAAATGCAGGAAGTTATGTAAACATGACTGAGCCAGAATTCTCAAAGCGCAACTGATTCATTATGAGCTCCAGGCGTGAGGGTGGGGGCCGATTAGAATCAGTGTCACGGTCAGCAAAGCACAGCAAAGCAACAAAGAACCAAACGAGGTGTGAGGGAAAAAGAGGAAAAGAGAGGGAAACCAAACGAGTGAAAAAGAAGAATATCCGAACTAGAAGGAGAGAGAAAAACCCAACCTATGCGAGATGATATGGAGCTGCTGGAGTCAGAACGGAAGATTTTAAGTCCTGGATGTTGCACTGGGGAGAGATAAAGAGAGATAGGGGAAGGGGCAGAGAAAGAGAGAGGGAGAGACCTAAGGAACATGCACCATGCACTACAATTGTACAAAATAAAAAAGGAGGATGAGAGGGAGAAAGAGAAAGAAAGGGCCAAATGTGTAGGCCATGCATATAAAAACAACCACCATGGGAAAGAGGTCAGGAAGTAATAGAAGATGAGATGAGAGTGAACTCAGATAGTACTGATAAGATGAGAACACTCATAGAAAAGAATGAATACATGAGTGAAAGATGATGAGATAAATGATAAAAATATTGAGTGGAAATATGAATAATGCTGTGTCAACAACTGTCTGTCAGTGTTGAGCACTTCCTGGAATCAATTTCATGTCCCTAAAGAGCAAGTTTCCTCCAGCTGTTATGTCAGACTTACCTCGACAAGGGTCGTTCTTCACCAGGAATTCATCCAGCGCCATCCCCCCTCCTCCAACTCGAACCATGACTGTACTGCGCAGGATTCGTACAAGACGCAGCTGCTGTGAGTCTCCGAACTGAGGAAAAGCAAAGGAAAGAAGAGGAAGAGTGGAGAGGAAAGAACGTGGATAAGAGAGGGAACAGGACAGACAGAGATAAAGGATTATACATTTCAGAATGTCATTTAAAGGGCTAGTCCACCCAAAAATTCTGCTCATGTTGTTCCAAACATTTTTAGTTTAGGAAAAAAAAAAAAAAAGTGTGAACATTTGGAAATATGAATAATGCTGTCAACAACTGTCTGTCAGTGTTGAGCACTTCCTGGAATCAATTTCATGTCCCTAAAGAGCAAGTTTCCTCCAGCTGTTATGTCAGACTTACCTCGACAAGGGTCGTTCTTCACCAGGAATTCATCCAGCGCCATCCACCCTCCTCCAACTCGAACCATGACTGTACTGCGCAGGATTCGTACAAGACGCAGCTGCTGTGAGTCTCCGAACTGAGGAAAAGCAAAGGAAAGAAGAGGAAGAGTGGAGAGGAAAGAACGTGGATAAGAGAGGGAACAGGACAGACAGAGATAAAGGATTATACATTTCAGAATGTCATTTAAAGGGCTAGTCCACCCAAAAATTCTGCTCATGTTGTTCCAAACATTTTTAGTTTAGAGGGAAAAAAAAAAAAAAAAGTGTGAACATTTTTGAAGGACTTGCATTTTTAATACGATTTGCATGAACGTTCCTCAAATTCTTTCCATTTATGTTCCACAGAAGAAGAAAAAAAACACTCAAGTTTGAAATAACATGAGGTTTAGCAAATAATCTGAATTACAGTGGGTGAACTATTCCTTTAAGATCATATTCAAATTAGTTAATTATACTAATTATATTATGAAGCACCAGGCAAATCAAAGGAAATCACACTGCGACATGCAGCAAACCACGTTTTTAAAAAATCTACATGATTAATGTTAAAGCTTGCCCAGTTCAAATCCCATCTCTACAATAAACACCACACCACAGCAATTCTCTAGAATTTCTATTTTTTTACTTCAAAGAATTGCTTTGGTTGAAGGTTTATTTTCGCTAAGTCAAGAAATCAGCCACTGGATAGTTTTCCTCCACCAAAAGCCAAAAAAGTCATAACAGAAAGCCCTGTAAATCTGAACTATTTCCTGATCATGATAAATAATTTTCAATAAAAAAAACAAGCACATCCCAACCACAACACATTAGCTGAACCTTTGAAATCTGCCTCTGGATTTGGAAGGCGTATATAAATGCATTTAAAATTTTGGCAATAGTACTGCATTTTTTGTCTCCCAGACAGGAAATGCCCACTGAGAAAGCAGGAAGGCACTAAAGAAATCCCCACTTCAGACAGCAGCCAAGAATGTGGGCTGTCCACAGGGAATTCTTAGCTAGTCCATGCAGAAACTGTCCTGTGTACTGATTTAGATCTGGCTGTCTGAAAAACCCCAGAATAAAAGACCAGCTTCTACAGTGGGAACTCATGGGAACTGTGCAAAGGCAACAGATTTCAGAGAACATGCCACAAACACACTGTTCACTTTACCTGATTCCCAAGGAAGAACTACAAAAAGTCCGGTGCACATGGAGGAGGAATAAAACAAGAGGAAAGAAAAGAAAAATAACAGTGAAATAACAGATACAGACATAAACACATTAACCTTTTATTTTGGTATAATGATTCATTTCCTTTTAACTATTCCTAAAGATAGCATACAATGGAGGAAATGCCCATGGGGAGCGTGGTGATTTGTTGCTATAAGCAGGGTAGAGTGCTTGTGAATGGCTGCTTGAAAACAAACACAATGAGGCCACCACAGAAGGTGAAGTAGTAAAAAGACAGACAAAGACGGACAAACGTCAGGATGTGGAGTTAGCATTGTGGATCTGTAGCCTGTGCAATGCAATAAGTTAGTAAACGATCTTGTCAAAGATCATTAACCAATGGATAATGATGCTGAGGTATGAAAGACCACTCAGTGATCTTGACTGCAGCAGCCACGTCTGATGGGTTGATCATTAGTTGGGTGTGAAGTGTTATGGTGGTACTGCATACACACACAAAACTGCCAAGGCACCTTTACTCCAAAATGACCAAGTCATACTGATGTAACTGAAAGAGTGTGATGCTGGATAGAGTCGTAATATTACAATGGCAAGCTCGGGTATGATCGGAATGAGGAGGTGTGGTGATAAAGCAGCTCATTTATGTACCTTTATAAATGTCATATTAAATGCATTGAATTCTTGCTTGATTATTACTATTGGGCACCCGATTCTCACCCTGTACTTGTTCTCTCCAATCTGCTCAACCTGAAACCTCTTGGCACACTTGCACTGGGCCACTTGTCTGGTGACCTGGGATACAAAAAATGTGGATTTAATTCAGCTTAAACACATCAAAAGTTCATTATCATGCCAAACCCACAACATTCGTTTTTTTGTCATCGTCCATACCTCATCTTCGATCTTATCAGCGTCTGTTGTGGGTCTGTAAGCATCTTTGTTAGGGTGCAAAGCAGCCACAAATTCATAGTAGTCGATGTAGCCATCACAATCACGGTCAAAAATATCAGCAACAGCTGTCATCTCCAGCTTGCTGGTAGGAAACTCTGCAAAAAAAAAAAAAGCATAGTTAAACTGGCATGTAAAAAAGGTACATGAAAACTAAGATTAGCAGGCAAGTCCATGAGGACGTACTTGATGCCAAGATGCCATCGATAAACTCTTGGCGAGTGATCTTTCCATCCTGGTCCTTGTCGATGCGTCGGAAGAAGTCCATGACTCGAGATTTCTTGTGGTTCATCCAGCGCATGTATTTCTTCCTCCACACATCAAAGTCAAAGTTGGCAAACTCTTTAAGCTGTGAGTGGAGAAAAGTCACGAGTTATTACTTCTACTGTTCAGATTTCATCATTTTAAATCACTTATTTTACTACTATTACACAAAGAGTAAAATTAAGAGTAAAAAAAGTATAGTAATAATAATAATAATAATGTAGTAATAGATGCAATACCTCCTCTAGTCTGTCGAGAGCATCATTCAGCTTGCGCTGGCGATCGAGGGCGAGCAGCCACACTTGTTGCCAGTGGGAGCAGAGCTGGGTGAGGCGAGGGTTACCACTGGTTACCTGTACTGAGTGCTGTTGTTGCTGCTGCTGCTGCTGCTGGTGTTTTCCTGTAAGGAGGGTACAGAAGAGTATGTTCAGAATAGCATACTACTGTACTAAGTGAATTCTGAGGTATATTAGTATGCATACTATGCACAGCATACACGCTTATTGTACACATGGAATACCTTAGTGACTGACTACACAATGCACTGTGCTTGACTTGACCTTAAATTTCTATTTTTCTCATTTTTTATCCTTTATAATTGCTTAATCTCTTTCACATCCTATTTTTAAAACATAATAGGCAGTATACAGTATACACTGCCCAGTATTAAGCAGTGAGCACAGTTATTGTAGCTCAAATTTACACTTCTGCTCAAAAGTTGCAATAATTGAAATAATATTTCATAACATTTTAATCAAATAAAAAATTAATTCTGCCCAGCATAAGATACTTCTTTTAAAAACATTTTTAAAAAATCATACTGGTGTTTTCCTGTAAGGAGGGTACAGAAGAGTATGTTCAGAATAGCATACTACTGTACTAAGTGAATTCTGAGGTATATTATTATGCATACTATGCACAGCATACACGCTTATTGTACACATGGAATACCTTAGTGACTGACTACACAATGCACTGTGCTTGACTTGACCTTAAATTTCTATTTTTCTCATTTTTTATCCTTTATAATTGCTTAATCTCTTTCACATCCTATTTTTAAAACATAATAGGCAGTATACAGTATACACTGCCCAGTATTAAGCAGTGAGCACAGTTATTGTAGCTCAAATTTACACTTCTGCTCAAAAGTTGCAATAATTGAAATAATATTTCATAACATTTTAATCAAATAAAAAATTAATTCTGCCCAGCATAAGATACTTCTTTTAAAAACATTTTTAAAAAATCATACCAACCACAAACATTTGAACAGTAACGAATGTAAAGGTTTTGTGTTTGTATGCAGCATGAGCGCAGATGAGGATAAAGTCTCTTACGGGCCCCTCTCCTGTCTGACAGGCTGCTGGGATGTTCTGCTGGTTTCCTCTTGTATGTCTTTGTCACTTTGTCAACATCAGGCTGTTTTCGCGTCATTTCTTCCATAAACACCTGATGGAAGAAAACAAAACCAATAAGAAACCTCTCAGCACTAAACAATGCAATTAATATTAAAAGGGCCTGCTGATGAATGGAGGTGTCCTGCCCACCTGATGCTCTGTAATTAGTGTCTTCAGTTGAGGAATGTCCTGGGGGAGTGGTTCAGTATCCCTCTGCACCAGTGTGGTCTCCGCCCACTGTAGCCATGACAACAGCTCCTCCAGTAGTGCAGCATTGTTGAGCAATTCAGTCAGAGCCGTCTCCAAGCGCTGCTCGTGCTGTTTGGTCCATGTCAGCACCTGTAGTGTAAATATTATAATATTACATTTGTATTATATACGCACTTCAGACTTATTATTTTAGGTTGAGACATTTGCTTGACTATCATTTATCTAACTTTTGGCCCAGACAGGCTTCATACCTCTTCAAAACGAGCTCTGATGATGGTGATCCAGTGTTTGATGGTTGTGATGCAGTCTGGGTGGCACACAGCTAGGATGGCTTCACCCATACCAGCAGCTTTATTGACATCCACTCTCTTCTCCTCCACTGTCTGCATGAAATCCCGGTGCGTGTGCAGTAGTGCCTGCAGAGTCTCTACCTCCTCTGGCAGGACGCCCCGGAAGCGCAATGTTTGCTCTGCCTCCGAAAGCCACTCCAGCAACATCTGAACAGCTGTGCGGAACTCCTCTGCCTGCAGAAAAAGAGAGACAAAAATAGACAGTCAAAAGAAAATATTTACACTATTCTTGAATTCATTCAAAAACTAAAAACAGTCAGATGTACCTGTTTGAGGGCCTGCTGGAGGCGAGTCTGTTTTGAAACAGACAGGGCACAGACTGTTTCCCAGCGGTTGCTAAGCTCCTTTAAATAAATAAATACTTATTTGCTATAATAATAATAATAATAACAACAACAACATATCAAATAAATGCTCTAATAAGTTGCATATTTGAGAGTGGCTGATATCTAATGAGTGGACTAGAGGTGAACTCATTTTGTGTACCATGTGTTGCTGCAGCTGCTCTCTGGCGGTCTCAGGCAGGCCACCTGTGGGTTTGGCAGCGGACAGCTGACTCTCTGTGCGTCTGAGCCACAGCAGAAACTCCTCCAACTCTCCATGGAAACGTAAATAAATAAATACTTATTTGCTATAATAATAATAATAATAACAACAACATATCAAATAAATGCTCTAATAAGTTGCATATTTGAGAATGGCTGATATCTAATGAGTAGACTAGAGGTGAACTCATTTTGTGTACCATGTGTTGCTGCAGCTGCTCTCTGGCGGTCTCAGGCAGGCCACCTGTGGGTTTGGCAGCGGACAGCTGACTCTCTGTGCGTCTGAGCCACAGCAGAAACTCCTCCAACTCTCCATGGAAACCCTCCGCCTGACACAGAAACCATGCAGGGGAAAGACAATGAGCTAATTGAAAGGACACCTGTACTACAATATTAAAGAGAACCATTTTTGCTGCACAGCAACCCTTCAAACGGTGCAAATGATGCATTTCAGGCTACAAACATATGCAGATGCACTTGTTTTTTTAATGGTGCTTTCAATCAGATCTTTCTGTATAATGATGCAGTAGTAATTTTTAGAGCACCTGTTGCAGGGCAGCTTCCAAAAGCTTCTGCCTCTCATCAGTCTTCAGCAGAAGGTTCTTCCAGCTGCGGTTGAGCTCATCCAGCTGGTCTCTCAGGTGGTTGATTTCGTCTCCAGGACTGGACTCCAGAAGCTCAGAGCCTGCACTGTTCACCGTCTCCACTGTAGCCCGATGGGACAGCACGTCGTTTCTTAAAACCTACAAAGACAGCTTGATTAAAGGAAACTGCTTTAAAAAGGAAATAAAAAAGTAGAGTACATAAAAATGTCCCAAATATGCCATACATGATGTTTAGCCAGCTCAATTTCAATGGCCTTGGGGTCAGAGCTGATGGGTCGCTGGGTGTCCAGTGTGGCGTGAGTGTGACTGAGCCAAGACTGCAGCTCAGAGAGAGCATGCTGGAACTGACCTAGAGCCAACAGTGCACCCTCAAGTTTGTGCTGAGAGAGAAGACAGAATCAAAATACAATCAAGAGTAAGAACATTTCCTGTCTACCCTCTAAAATGCAGTTAAACTGAATTTAAATTGATTTGATATTAGTTTTCACATTTCATTTTACAATACCAATATTGAATAATGAGTTAAATATTATTATTATTATTAATACATTCATAATTCATTAGCCTAACTGTAGGCTGCTTTATGGAGCATTAAACTGAGGATATCAATGTGTGTTTGTCTATATTTTACAATGCTATTGAACATGGCTCATCTGAATTTAGAGTCTGAATGATCTGTTTAATAAGTAATTGTTTTGTAAAAGCAAAAGTAGACTGAGATAAAAAATGGTCTGTATTTCCACACCTGTCTGATTGTGATTTTGTCCACCAAGTTATCCCACAGGTGGCGTAGCTCAATGAGAGGCTCCTGAATCATGTCTCGGTCTGTTTGGTCGCTCACTTTTTTGAGCAACAGCTCTCCTTGGTGGCAAAGCTTCTCCATGTCAATCTGTTGCTGGTAAACTTCCACTTTATATTGCTGTGGCATGTAAAATGAAAAAGGGTCAATCTTTTTCTCAACGTGATTTTAGAGATAAGAGTAGACAATGTCTGATTCGAACCTTGAGCTCCTCGATCTGTTGTTTAACAGTGCTGAGGTCTGTCCCTACAGCTGGCATGTCACACAGTTTGATGACAGCATTGTCCAAGTAGTCAAACATGCCCTGTGGAGATATAAAGCAATGATCGTGAACACACAGTTGGCTTGACCAATCAGGGCAGATTTTGTGGTATCAATAGTGTGATAGACACCTGAAGAGCATCCTGGTACAGCACAGAGGCAGTCATGGCCTCTTCCAGTCTCTCCATTCTCTCTCTCCACGTGCGGTTCAAGCCTTCCCAGGCTGCATTCATCTGAGTGTCAAAGGACCAACACAAAATCAACAACAGGGAGATATTTTGTGTAAATGTGAGTGAAATAGGGTGTCCCCTACATGGCTTATCAATCTTCTAGACTCTTACCTCATCGATGGTCTTCTTGACCTCTGGTTTCTCAGTCTCTCCGCAGGCAAAGATGAGGTCAGCTCCAAGTGTTCGTACGATCTCCAGTTCTTCCCTCAGCCCATCTGTCTCTTGCTTAATGGCCTGAGTGTGAGACAAAAACATCATGACTACATTCTCTTGAGATCATTGTCTTGACACAATATTATGTAGTTTGATCTACTCTAAAATCCCATTAAGCAGTGTTTTATTAAAATGCACACGGCTCCCTATATTAGGCTATTCACAGTTTTTCTGCTGTAATTATGACAAAGCTGATTGTTTTATATCTTTTTTTTATTAACCGTAACTGAACAAAGAGCTTACATTTTGCTCTTCAGTTCCAATAATTTATTCTTCAATTAAAAACAACAGTTATTAAAGGGGGAAAATATGCTGTTATTTTATTATTCATTATTTTATTATATTATAATATTATATTATACAAGAAATAGCTTTCAGTTTACACATTGATTTTATTTGTTTTTAACAGTTCCCTTGTAATTTTGCTGATGCCCCCTAGTGGTTGTGGACCACTGATCAATACAGAGCTTCTTTAAGACTAATTAGTTGACTAGCCATTTAGGCATCCTACAGACGAGTCAGCTTTGAAAATATGCAGTTTTTGTACATCCCCACTGAAAATTAGATTAAACCAAAAAAAAACAATGTCTTGCTTGTGACTCTCTTGTTGGACTGACCTCGGCTGCCTCTATTTGTTGTTTTATAAGAGAAGGATCCACCCCTGGGTCCTCCAGTTCTTTCACAATATCCTGAGAGTCACGAAGTGTGCTCAGCAGAGCGGCCATGTCGGCCCAGAACTTTCCGGCGAGATCTAGAACATCCTGAAGCTTTCCTTCTCTTTCCTCTGCCCTCTGCCTGATCTCATCCCACAGAGAACGCAGCCGTAAGAGTCGCGAACGCACCGCTGAGGATGGGAACAGATTACAGATTTACCAAAACATATAGGATAAAGCGCTTCATACAACCATATAGTGTCATTTCAGATCAAAGATCTTTACCCTGGGCGGCAGGATCGTCGTGTGGGGCGCGACCGATGAGCTCTTCTCCTCGGGCACACAGGGTGCTGAAAGATGGAAGGAGTTTGTCCAGCTCTAGTCCTGTAGCCCGGTGCTCCGCAAGTTGCTCCCGGATCTTCTCCACCTCAGCCGCCACTGGAGGTGGCTGCCGCAAGCGTTGAACTGCACCTTCCAGAGTCTCCAAAAGAGGGTCCATCTTATCGTGGAACTGAATGGAGAAGGAATACAACAATCAGAACAACTACAGTACACAAAAGTAACTGTAGAAGGACCAGGCATAAGGAGGAGGGAAGATTTATCTCAGACACATGCTAAGGGGTAGAGGAAGTTGGTGCTAAATAATAGGAATTCTTTAGGACAAGTATTACAGAATACACCACAGAATATTGACACATTCATCATGCATGGACGCATCTGAAACCAGTATGCTACTTCTTAAAGTGGAAAGAAATGAACTTTTTTTTTTTTACAATTTTGTATTAACATTTTTTATTTAAATGTCTTGTATTAGGTGTATTGGTATTACACAGTACTTGTACACTATTATTTGGAAGTTTGGGGTCAGTAAGATTGTTTTTTTTTTTTAAGTACTTTTATTCATCTAGGATGCATTAAATTGATCAGTGACAGTAAAAATCTTTATAATTCTACAAAAGATTTCTGAAACTTTCTATTCATCAAATAATCCTGAAAATGTTTCATGGTTTCTACATAAATATTAAGCAGCAGAACGGTTTTCAACATTTATAAAAACAAGAAATGTTTCTAGAGCACCAAATCAGCATATTAGAATGATTTCTTAAGGATCATGTGACACTGAAGACTGGAGTAATGGTGCTTTAAATTTTAAAACATACGAAAATGGAAAACACTGATTTTAAATTGTAATAATATTTCACAATATTACTCGTTTACTGTATTTTTGATCAAATAAATGCAGCCTTGTTGAGCATAAGAGATTTATTCAAAAACATTTAAAAAATCTTACAGACCCCAAACTTTGGAATAGTAGTGCAAGAAAGTTATCTGTCTCATACATGAAGGCAAATCACTTTTTGTTAGTTGGTCTGCATAAAAGCTTCTGCTAAATACCTTATTGCAAATGAAGAAGATATATTTCAAAATATAACCTTGAAATAACCAAAAAATATTACCATACAAAATGGTAAAGGGAGCAGGTTAAATGTGAAATTTGGATGATTTATATACTTTTAAACATAAGAAATTAATTGAAATATATATTTCATATTTTGTCCATCTTCTGTTACTAATAAGATACTGTCTATAGACCAACCGATGTAAGCTAAAACTAGTTTCAACAGAGTGATATAAAATATTCTGGATTAAAGAATTCCTGAAAATTCCTGATTCTCAATCCTATACAGGCATTATACAGCAGTTAAATCAGTGGGTGATGATGCTCTTACCTCTACCAGCTGAGGGTGTTGCAGAGAGCAGTGATGATGGAGGGATGGACACACACAGCACATCCACAAACATGAGTGATGGGTGGACGGATGGACCAAACGGACATGGGAGGGAGAAGTGCAGGGAATGTTCAAGGGAAGAGTTGCAACAAGCAGGAAAGGGGGAAGTTTAGGGGATACAGGATATGGAAAGGAGAGTGTGACAGGATATGGGGCACAGGAGTGGGACAGGTGGCATCACAGTAGAGTAGAGTTTGAAGGAATGGAGGTGGAGAAACAGTACAATGTGTTAATTCAACAGCATGCAACAGACCAGCAGGACGAATCAATAACACAAGCATTAAGCCAAAATGCAGCTGATGATGTCAGATGTCACTGATGCTATTTAAAAAAAAAAGCCTTAGTCTGAAACAATGATTAATTAAAGGTGATGTGTGTAATTTTAAATAGCTTAAATATACTTGTGTGTTCTAAAAAACATGATGATGACACAAAATGAGTTGATATTGCGCTGTGTAATGCTGAACTATGGGCTGTAACAAGCTGGGCAGCAGTCCTAAATAAGCATGCTAACATTTTGCAGCAAATACCTGGACAGACTGTGACACGGCTTCATCCAGTGCTGTGGCTCGACCTTTGACCTCCTCTTTGATGCTGAGGTAACGTCTCTCTGCTTCATTATAACGTTGTCTCAATGTTGCCCCTTCCTGGGCACTGAGTTCTGCCAGCTGTGGACCGATCTTTAGCAGTTTATCTATGTGAGGCTTGTGCTCAGCGATGGACTCTCTCAAAAGCTAGTCAGGAAAACATATGAAACATGTCATGTGATGTTAATACATATGACATCAAATAAGTTTTGTGGGTCTTAGTCCAAGTCTATTGGTGCATCCAAGTCCTCCTGGGAAGTGCATATTTACTAGTTGGGAAGTCGGAATTACGTCAGGAGCAAGATGGCAATTGCCATGCATTTTTGCTCTTTTATATTTTTATTCAATTCATTAAGAGGCTGTAAGCTGAATCATTACATATCATAATTGTACAATACTATGATATTTTTGTGCATGCAAGTCAGATACTTTAACTGCACTGACACGCCCTAAACTCAGAAACTCTGATTTTAAAGAAAATCCAGAGAAAATCCTCATTTGTAACTAAGACTTGTGGTGACGTTCATATGCGTTCAACACATAAATACAATGTTCCCGACATGACTTGAATACATCATATAACCACGAAGGAGCAAAAGGGACTCAAGCCCTTTGTCTGCATACTGCCCACTCACCCTCATCTGGTCTTGCTGTTGTCTGAGCGCTTCTGTGTCAATGGCGGGAGGGGCTTGCTGGGTAATCAAAGTCTCGGTCTCACCCAGCCAGGGTTCAAGTTCCTCATACGTCTCCCAGAACCGTGCTACCAGGACCTGAGCCTGCTCTAGAGCTGAGAAGCGCTCAGCATGACTCTGATTTACTGCTTCATAATGAGCACTTAAAGAGTCTGTCTTCACCTACAGGAAGAAGAAGAAAGAGGTTTTATCAGGTCAACCAAATTAATCTGAAAAAGACTGATAAAACAAGCCTGCACTTTTGTTTGACCCAAATATGACAACAAATCAAATCTCTGCCAGAAAATGCATGAATAATATCAATTCGATTTTCCTGATCTAACCTTTCACAGAGGAATAATTACATAGCTTGTTCTGCCCCCTCCCCTCTCGCTCTTCTTTTTTTTGTCTCTAACCTTCAGAGCCTCTCTCTGCTGTTCACTACAGCTCTCCAGGATGTCCTCTCGTGTCTTAAGGAGCTGGTCGACAGTATCTTTGTGACGAATGATGTCGATGTTAAAGGCTCTTTGCACCTGGAGCTGTGCCACAGTCAAATCAGGCTCCAGACTCAGAGGCCCCAGAGACGCCAACTTCTTCTTGGTCTCTACGACCCAGGTCAGCTCTGCATCAACTGCCTCCTCATACTGAAACAATAACACACACAAATACACTGTCAAAAAAAAAAAAAAAAGTATGACGAAAATATTTACACATTCAAGAAGGCAACATGGACAGAGGATCCTAAATCAAATTTTACTTAAGCAACAACTTATTTTTTATATTAATAATATTTTAAAATGTATGTTAAAGTTGCAAATGTACTTTTTAAATTTATTATAACCATTTGTATTTACTTTGAAGTATTACATCAATAAAATTTTTTTTTTTTTTTTAATTGAAATTACATTTGAATTTTCCTAAAAGAAAATACCAATGCTAATGCAAGGCAGGGAAAGAATAATGTTAAGTTCTAAGTAAGTTTAGGTTTTGCTTCTGTGTTAATCATACATACATACATACATACATACATACATACATACATACATACATACATACATACATACATACATACATACATAGTATTTGTTGCAGTACCTGCTGTGACCTTTGGATGGCAGCCTGCACTAACTGCACTCTCTGTGTGATGGTCTCATCCGCTTGGCGGTAGCGCTGATTGGCATCGGCGACCAGGCGGTCCAGGCCTTCCCGTGCACGCCAGGGCACCAGATCCAGTAAAGCACTGCCCACCTCATTCACTGTGTCCAGAACTAACCTCTTCTCAGCAGACACGCACTTCAGCTCCTGAGCCAAACATACACACAATATAAAATGCACTGAAGACATAAAATAAATTCATTTGGTTTAGCAAAAACAGAAATAGATGTGTATGGCCTTAAAGAAAAGAATGAAGTAAAAAGTAATTCACAAGTACTTAAAAAAATAAAGCAGTAGACATCCTCACCCTCTGTCTGTCCTGATAGGCTGGTGTTGTGTCTGGCTCAATGTTGTTAAGCCCCGCCTCCACGCTATCCAACCATTGGCTGATGTCATCATGCGAGCTAGCAAATCGCGTGGCCAACTGAAGGGCCTGTTCGAGAGTACGGAGGGCCTTGCTGCTGCCTGCTGTCATCTCTGCGTAGCGGCTTTTGATGTCATCTAGCTTCTCTTGAATCAACAGGACCTCCTCACCTGTCACAGAGATCAAATACGATCATAATCATAAGAGGAATTTGGTGATACACCACTGAACATAGAGACTGGATGGAAAAGTACCAGTAGTTTGTTTAAGCAGAGCCTGTCCATTCTTAATGGCTTGGTCCACTGTCTTCTTCCTGCTGATAATCTCTTCATTAAGAGCCTGTAGGGAACCAGCAGTAGAAACATTAACTCTGAACATAATTCACAGGGATATTATATAAAATAATATAGAATGAATAAAATAAAATACACTGCATTGGTATATGCAATTCATTTTATTATTTAATCAGAATATCACAATTAATTTTAATTGAATGACAGATCTAGTATAGCTCTGACCTTACTGAGTGAGTTTTTTTTAGGAAATATTCATATTCTCTAAACTGACTTATACGGTATTGTTGATCCTGGGCAGCTATGACCTTCAGAATCATACCAGTGTGTGTTTGTGTTGCTGCTCTAGTAGCTCCGGCTGATAACTCTGCACTGAGACCTCAGCCAGTCTCTGGGCCACCTCAGCTAGCCAGTTAAGGACTTCCACCTCTTCCTCTCCAAATAGCTGTGCATTGGCCAGGGCCTGCTCCAACATGACCTCTCTCCGACTGCACCAATCGTGCAGCTCCGTGTGCCCATTGCACACTGCCGCCACAGAAGAAGAAGAAAGAGGTTTTATCAGGTCAACCAAATTAATCTGAAAAAGACTGATAAAACAAGCCTGCACTTTTGGTTGACCCAAATATGACAACAAATCAAATCTCTGCCAGAAAATGCATGAATAATATCAATTCGATTTTCCTGATCTAACCTTTCACAGAGGAATAATTACATAGCTTGTTCTGCCCCCTCCCCTCTCGCTCTTCTTTTTTTTGTCTCTAACCTTCAGAGCCTCTCTCTGCTGTTCACTACAGCTCTCCAGGATGTCCTCTCGTGTCTTAAGGAGCTGGTCGACAGTATCTTTGTGACGAATGATGTCGATGTTAAAGGCTCTTTGCACCTGGAGCTGTGCCACAGTCAAATCAGGCTCCAGACTCAGAGGCCCCAGAGACGCCAACTTCTTCTTGGTCTCTACGACCCAGGTCAGCTCTGCATCAACTGCCTCCTCATACTGAAACAATAACACACACAAATACACTGTCAAAAAAAAAAAAAAAAGTATGACGAAAATATTTACACATTCAAGAAGGCAACATGGACAGAGGATCCTAAATCAAATTTTACTTAAGCAACAACTTATTTTTTATATTAATAATATTTTAAAATGTATGTTAAAGTTGCAAATGTACTTTTTAAATTTATTATAACCATTTGTATTTACTTTGAAGTATTACATCAATAAAATTTTTTTTTTTTTTTTAATTGAAATTACATTAGAATTTTCCTAAAAGAAAATACCAATGCTAATGCAAGGCAGGGAAAGAATAATGTTAAGTTCTAAGTAAGTTTAGGTTTTGCTTCTGTGTTAATCATACATACATACATACATACATACATACATACATAGTATTTGTTGCAGTACCTGCTGTGACCTTTGGATGGCAGCCTGCACTAACTGCACTCTCTGTGTGATGGTCTCATCCGCTTGGCGGTAGCGCTGATTGGCATCGGCGACCAGGCGGTCCAGGCCTTCCCGTGCACGCCAGGGCACCAGATCCAGTAAAGCACTGCCCACCTCATTCACTGTGTCCAGAACTAACCTCTTCTCAGCAGACACGCACTTCAGCTCCTGAGCCAAACATACACACAATATAAAATGCACTGAAGACATAAAATAAATTCATTTGGTTTAGCAAAAACAGAAATAGATGCTTTGAAGTATTACATCAATAAAAAATTTTTTTTTTTTTTAATTGAAATTACATTTGAATTTTCCTAAAAGAAAATACCAATGCTAATGCAAGGCAGGGAAAGAATAATGTTAAGTTCTAAGTAAGTTTAGGTTTTGCTTCTGTGTTAATCATACATACATACATACATACATAGTATTTGTTGCAGTACCTGCTGTGACCTTTGGATGGCAGCCTGCACTAACTGCACTCTCTGTGTGATGGTCTCATCCGCTTGGCGGTAGCGCTGATTGGCATCGGCGACCAGGCGGTCCAGGCCTTCCCGTGCACGCCAGGGCACCAGATCCAGTAAAGCACTGCCCACCTCATTCACTGTGTCCAGAACTAACCTCTTCTCAGCAGACACGCACTTCAGCTCCTGAGCCAAACATACACACAATATAAAATGCACTGAAGACATAAAATAAATTCATTTGGTTTAGCAAAAACAGAAATAGATGTGTATGGCCTTAAAGAAAAGAATGAAGTAAAAAGTAATTCACAAGTACTTAAAAAAATAAAGCAGTAGACATCCTCACCCTCTGTCTGTCCTGATAGGCTGGTGTTGTGTCTGGCTCAATGTTGTTAAGCCCCGCCTCCACGCTATCCAACCATTGGCTGATGTCATCATGCGAGCTAGCAAATCGCGTGGCCAACTGAAGGGCCTGTTCGAGAGTACGGAGGGCCTTGCTGCTGCCTGCTGTCATCTCTGCGTAGCGGCTTTTGATGTCATCTAGCTTCTCTTGAATCAACAGGACCTCCTCACCTGTCACAGAGATCAAATACGATCATAATCATAAGAGGAATTTGGTGATACACCACTGAACATAGAGACTGGATGGAAAAGTACCAGTAGTTTGTTTAAGCAGAGCCTGTCCATTCTTAATGGCTTGGTCCACTGTCTTCTTCCTGCTGATAATCTCTTCATTAAGAGCCTGTAGGGCACCAGCAATAGAAACATTAACTCTGAAAAGAATTCAAGGGGATGCTACGTAATATAAAATAAAAAATAAATAACATTAGTATATGCACTTCTTTACATTATTGAATCAGAATATCATGCGATTGATTTGATTACAAATTTTAATTGACTGACAGACCTAGTGTGGCTCTGACCACACCTAGTGACAGTTTGTTTTTGAGATGAGGGCTGTTTAGCAATATTCATATTCTCTGATTTATCTGGTATACTGACTTATACGGTAATGTTGATCCTGGGCAGCTATGCACTGCAGAATCGTACCAGTGTGTGTTTGTGTTGCTGCTCTAGTAGCTCCGGCTGATAACTCTGCACTGAGACCTCAGCCAGTCTCTGCGCCACCTCAGCTAGCCAATTAAGGACTTCCACCTCTTCTTCTCCAAATAGCTGTGCATTGGCCAGGGCCTGCTCCAGCATGACCTCTCTCCGATTGTACCAATCATGCAGCTCCGTGTGCCCGTTGCGCACTGCCGCCACACGTTCACCCAGCCAATCACGATCAGCTGCACAGCTGAGTGGATGCAGTGATTGACTGAGAGTCTCAAGATGGTCTACATCATTCTCCCGAGAGGATACCTCCTCTTGGAGAACCTGGGATTATAGCCCAGAGTGAAGAGGAGATATGATTGAATGAGTAGAAGGAGAAAAAAAAAGACAAGGCAAACATAAACAAACATGACAATGCAGAATAATGACAAATCATAATTAACTGATGTGAGCAAAAAAAGTATATGTGGATCAACACAAGATGAGATGGGGAAAAAAGAAAAGAAAAAAGAAACCATGATAAAAATTAACTGCAAAATGGAAAGGATGTGGGCAGAATCACGACCTGAATTTTGTGCCTTCTTAGATAACTGCACTCCTACTAGTCCATTTAAAACCACAGGAGACTGACAATCTGTTCTCTCCTCTGCATCTCTAGTCAGTCTAATGATGCTTGACACTTTGAAAATCACTTGCTAAAATGACAGATCTTGGTTTGGCAGCAACAATTCTGTCAGTCTTACCCTCAGCAAACTGCCAGGATACAACTCTCCCAGCTGCTGTGTATACTCTACCTTGTGCCTTACAATCTGCTGTGTGATTTTGGAGGTCTGGGTTCCCATTGGCTCAGCGGAGCTCAGACGTCTCTCTGATGTGCTCAACCACTCACCAAGTGGCTCCACTGCCTCGTGGAACTGCAGCGCTAACACCTGCAGCTCCTCTAGCTGCCGCTGCCTGAGGACATGAGGTGAGGAGGAAATCTGTGTTACATTCTTATGACTACTCTGTTTTTATGGCCTTGTAAAGCAACCAACTGATTGAGTTCTGAGTAAGAGATTCAATTAAGAGATTTTATGGTTGTGTCTGGGTGTCCATATTGCTCTACTGGAGTTTACCTGGCACTGGCCTTTTCCAGCAGATTTGTCCATCTCTCTCCTAGGCTCTTAAGTTGTTTCTGGATTTTGTCTCTGTCTTGTGTCTCGGCCGTAGCAGCGATTCGCTCTCCTTCTGCCCTGATCATTTCTACTGTCCCAAGGCGGTCATCCAGTAACCGTTGCAGCAGCTAGGAATAATATGGAATCTCAGTAAGCAAATCTAAATGATTTTATAATCTAGCATAATAAAAGTCCAATTAGTAATTAAAAGTAGTAAAGTCTAATTAGTTTGATAAAAAACATCAACGTGCCTTTTGTCACAAATTGGATATAATACAAATAAATATAATATAATAATAACTATAATTTTAGGTTTTAATAAAATATTGCAAGCCATTATAAAAACTGATTAAATTAAAATTTGATTAAAATCTAACCTTTTGCTCCTGAATTTGTGCTTTGACCACACGGTACTCAGCAGACGGAGGTTTCTGATTGGCTATGAGCTCCTCTGTGTCACTAAGCCAGCTCAAGAGTGGCTCCAGAGCATCTTGGAACTTCCCACAATGCAACAGGGCCTCCTGCAACTGTGCGATTCTTTCAGCAACCTGTGAATAAAAAAAAAGAAGAAATCTTTAATATATAATGAATCCATTTCTATCAGTCAAAGGCTAAAAATAGATGCAAGCTTACCCTCTTGTTGAGGGAGTTCCAGCGCAGGTTGGTGGTCTCCAAGTCATGTTCCAGGCCCTGAGTGTCAGTGTGTTTGGCTGCACTCTGGATAAGACCTTGACCCACAGCATTGACATGTTGCAGTTTAGGCTGAATGCTGTCTATCTGCTCCCTTTCTACGGCCTAAAGAGTGAGTGAATGAACAAACGACTTGAACACATGAGAACAAATGACTTGAGTATGTTACTGGACACTTGTTACACTACTGGACATGTGATATGATAGAATGCGTCTAAACGGGTCAAGGCTGTTCAAACACAACAACATGATAATGGTGGCATGAGCATTTATAAATGGAGAAGCATCACACTTTGACTGAAATTAAATACAGGACCTTGGCAGCAACACTGTACAGCTCTATTTCCCCAACAGCCCAACACTACAGCTGTGACAGAATATCCAACACAGTGGTTCACCACATACAGTTTGCCAAATACCCCTAACCAACACCATGACCAGCAGTTACCAAAGAGTAGTTTGAAGTCATTTTAATTTCGTAATGTGACTTATCACAAAGAAACAGAATATTCAGCAGGAAAAGTACTTTCTTGCAATCATTTGGAATTGGATGGATCACAAAAAGCGGGCATTATATACCAGAATGGATTTAGACCTTAATGCAACTTCATGGGGGATTGTTCAATTTCACAACTGACCCACAGTCAGCACTAGGAATGCACCAAAATTCAAATTCTACTCTTTACCAATAAGTCCATGATTATTTTCATTGCCGATATTAACATTTTATATTATAGGTGCATCTGAAATCACATTCCGTCTGAGTAGGTCCTACAATAAATGAAGAATGAAGTTCACAACCAATAAAAGGTATATAGCATGAATGATATTTGGATGTACTAAATCCACTATGTTGGCTTTGTTATGTGACCTTTGGCATCAGCATCACTTCACTGCCATCTACAACTTCTCTCCTGTGGCCTCATAGGATACTGAAGTGTCGACTGGATGTGCATTCCAAAAACCCACTGGAAATAGTAAGTCACTTGGGTAAATTTCTCCTACTCATTTAATAATACTAAGAATACTCGAACACCTTATTCTTTTATGTATGGTTTTCTTCGGATGCAGCATATTTTGTCTAAATATAATAAAAATAAAACACTAAAAACTAAAACCAATCATTTTAAATGGTTTAAAGTAAATTTAGGCATCCCAATATATAATGTACAGTATGATATAAGATAAAGAATAAAATGTAACAGTGTTATTAAATTTTTAGTACATTTTTTTTTACCAGTGTTAGATGATGGCAAAGGTAATCCAACTGTAGAGCTAAGGGAAACAAGCATGTACAATTAAATAAAATCCAGAATCCTTTGTGTGTGAGTGTGTGTTCGTTTATTTGCTGCTGTCTTGTGGCGTGGGCCTTCATTCTTGCTTCAAACAGGATGTCTGTCAGCCTCAAAACAATGAACCACAGCTTCAACCTGCTCCACCCTCTTGCCGACAGTGTACGTGTCTATGAAACGAAGAGAGTGTTTGGTCCCCTTTTGTCTCTCTATATCCTGTCTAACATTATCCTAAATCCATCATCTAGGCCCCCTCCTCCTTCTTATCCTCGGTGTGTATACTTGGAGCCATTTCCCGTTTTAATCCTGATCATTCATCACATGTGGCACTTTTCACCCACCAGAAATAACACCATTCATCTGCATCTGTGGGAGTTCTTTCACAACTCGTGTGGGCAAATCAAAGGGACAGTTATATTTTATAGACAATTATATATCTACATATTTGTGCTACAACCAATAATTCACAATAGGAAGAGAGGAAATTTAGTTTGTCAGACCACTGAAATCTAAACAAAGATGATGTCCACAAGTAGAACATAGCTATTCATATCCATCCATACAACAACAGAAAGAGGTCAGTGTAAAAAACAGTCTCTCCTCTTTACTTTCTCTCAGAGAGCATTTGACTCTTGTAATGCAGGCCTCTGGAAAATATCTAGGATGCCGGTCATTCCACTCAAACGCTCTCGGCCAATCTGGCCAGCAGGCTAGTCATTCACACACACACACCCACACACGACCGACCGCTTGACACGTATCTCTCCAGCACACTCGGTTTCTTTTGTCACCAAACTTTAAACTCTTTTGTTTCTCACTCGAACCCCCACAGATCATTTTTAGCTACTGGCAGTACTCCATCCTACCGCCAACCCACAACATCACCACCAGTGGAGTCTTTTGTTTCTCTCTCATCAGTTCAAACCACAACTCCATACTGCCTAATGTATGCCCACATTTCATTAAAGAAAATATTATAACAGCTGGCTAAGAGTTAAGCGCTATATCCCCCACACTATGTGCTGATTTTTGCTGAGCCTTCTAAACCTTGTTCTGCATCTGAAAGCATCAAGAGAAATTATTCTCATGGAATTTTTGCAAAAGGCAAGATAAAATCAATCAGACTCAATTACAGTACCAGTCAAAAGTCACATCTTAAGTTGTGCTTATGTATGAATTTCATACAAAACAGTTCAGCTTTTTTAATGAATGACTCCGAATACAACAGTTTTGATAAACACCTTTTTTGTTTTTGCATATTTCACATAATTCCATTTGCGTTATTTCATAATTTTGGATGGCTTTATTATTACTATTTTGAAGGGTGTCTTCTGCCTGGTACTGTATTTGAATTTCTGTAGTGCGGAAAAAAAATGCATGCATGCAACAATGCCAGACATAATGTAGGCTACACATGTCTTGAATGATTTAATGGAAACTTCAAGATATATATTTTAAATGTTCAACAAATATAGCACAGGCATGGCATTTCCTCTTCAAACCATAATACTCAAAGCATACAATAAGAAATTCAAGGCTATAAATGTCTAAAAACAGCAAAAAACAAATAAAAGTCTATCTTGTCTTGAGAGACACCTTAGATGTAAAATTTCTGGACATCCCAGGAAATCACAGGAATATGATTTCTTTCAAATCAATGAAAACATGGCCGTTAGCAAATTTCTTGTTCTATAAAGACTTTCCAAAACTCTCTCTCCAGTCCTACTCTTCCTGTCTTTGCTTTCACCTCCTGTGTTTTTCCGGCCTCTCAGTTCCTTGTCTTTACCTCTGCTTCCTTTTCAAAGGACTTCAGATGACTTCATTTTATCTGACCCAAATGTCCTAACAAGGATATAATTCACATGGTTCCATTAATAAATACTGAGCAAATGAGATTAAAAACATAGTCAATGAGTTCACAGCATATGTGACTGCTTTGTTATGGCTGTCGTTGTGCCGACGGGGCTGCAGGGTTTGTTTAAGCTCTTTTGTTTGCATCAGTCTTTTATCACAGGTGTTTCCCGCACACTGTCTTTCACTGGCATCATTATCCAAACAATCAAATATACCCACTGTTACCATATGCCATAACATCAGTGCTCACTCCCTGTCTGATTGCTCTTCCCTTTCCACTCTGCGTATCAGTTGGTGCATCTGTTTACCTGACCATCTCTAAAACTCTACCCTGGACAGACTCAAAATTGAGTGTGGGTTTCAGATGTTACGTCAGACGTTTCTTCTGACTCCTCTTATTGCTCATGCAGCTCTTATTTTGAGTACTACCAGGTGTTCTGCCATAGAGACTCTGTTCATTCATGATCAGGCTGTTGCAAAATCTTCTAACTTTACCCTCTGAATCAGCCGCCATTGCAAGTGTGCAATTTCACTGGAGACAGCCCGTAACGGAGAGCTGGTCCAAAAGATTACAAAGATCTTTCCCAAGGTTTCGGGCATTACGGGGGTGAGAGTCTGGCCCTGCACTGATAGGACTGACATGCCCTTATCATCTATTTATATTTCCAACAACTTTATACAGTGTTTGTGTGTTACTGGGAAATGTGGCTCCTCTTATAGAGGCTCATGTTTATTTCTCACTTCCTTATCTTAATTGCAGTACCATCAGACTGCAGCTGGGAAGAAAAGAGGGGGGGTTGAAGTGAGAAGACATTTTAAGTTGGTTTGGCACTGAACGACAGTCACCTCTCAAATCAGTCATTTTGTTCTGCTCTTTTAATAAAGTTTAAATATAATTTGCTATCTGATCCTGTTCAGTCCCTCAGTTGCTATAATCCCAAATCTAGTCTTGACAGGGTTTCTGCATCTGATAGGATAGGGAGTTTTGAGAGCGACCATAAAGAAAGGCAGATTTGGCCAAGGAAGAGGGTCAAATGAGATGTGGATGACCAGTCAGACTGATAGAGACCGTAATGCAATAACTATCCAGTGATCTTAAGAACTAACAGGCAGTGTCTCGGCCACCCGCCACTGTCACTGTGAAACAGAGCAGACACTGGCCTTGTCACGGCAGTCGAGAGAGAATGTCAAGCGCACACTCACATACACAGTGTGCTCACTTAGACAAAAGCAGTGCTCAAACAGGCAAAAAAGCAAACGCATGCAAATGTGTGCTCAAACCCATTTGCCTGTAACCAAACACAAACGCTCACTAGGCTTTGACTACTTTGGAGTAAGCATGCTTTTTAACTCAGTGAGCATGTTTGTGTTCATATGATCACCACTGCAATAGACAAACAATCCCAGGATACATATACATATCATGCACTCAAAGTTTTCTGCCTATATACACCTGGAATCATTCCAGACTATAGTAAATATGTGTATTAACATTTAAAAACATGGATTAACCATTTGGGTCCCCATGAACAAAAACGCACACATCATTTCAAGCTAAACACAAACACACTTTTAAGGACCAGAAGGATCAATGATGGAATATACTGGAAGATTAACGCATTCACTGAGTACTTTGATCAGACAGTTTACTACATACAATATTGTGCACAATTATAATGTAAAATAGGACTAAAAGTGCACTAGGGTAAAAGGCACATTTTATTTTCTAGATAATGCGAAATTTAAACCGCAGCACTTTCCTAAACATTCGAGTTTCCCAACGCACATGGAAATTTGGCTGATCCTTGATGTGATCACGGGCAGCAACGTAAAGTTGATTCAATGCTAATTTGATCTAAAATTTAATGTTTCTTGAAATGTTTTAGATTTATGTAGCAAATAAGTATCGATAAAATGACAGAATATATATTGAGACAAAGTAATTTTTGTACAAGGTAA